CTAAGTCCTCCTGGCCCCCATGTACTTATGGTTATTATCCTGCTCTAATTAGAGACAAAGTTCTTCATAACTCACTATGAAGTTCTTTTGTAATAAAATGAAGTAAGAGAAATGTTATAAAAAGGTAAATAATACAACAGTTAAAGTCATAAAGTTAAAAGGTAAAGTCTTCCCTTCCTCCTTCTTTCTTCTCCTTTGTCCTGTTTCCTTTCTCTCTCTCTTCCCTCCCCCACCCCTCCCCGAGTCTAGTAAGTGGTAAGACACCAAAGCTTCAGATTCCTGCTTTATGTGTATCTGTGGTAGAATGCATAGTATCTGTTTAGTACATTCTTGTCACCTTGTCTGTTTACCTGATTCATACAAGTATGCAACATAAGAGAAGTTCCGATCCTTAGGGCTTCGTGCTTATCAGCTGAGATGCAGAGCCCCTGTTTTGGGGTGTTCGGGATTGTAAATATATTTCCACTGTTAGCATGATGCTTTCTGTGGCTAGTTTTGGGCTTTGGTTGGGATTGTGTTTTTTGGCATCTGAGTTAACCACACTGATACTTTTACTAGGTAGGAGATGAACTTGTATCCATTCCATGCTGGCTGCTGGATAAGGCTCTGGGTTGGCTTCAGACTAGTTCCAGTTGCTTATGGGGCAGGCATGTTATAGCCCAGAAACTGCAGTTGCAGCTCCCCTTGGAGAGTATTTGTACCAATAAGAGTCAAGGTATTTTCTACAATGTAACAAGAATAGGTATTTTTCTTAATATGTAAATAAATTTAAGAGTGATAGTGAGTTCAGGGAGCTATATGAAAATGTAGAAGAATCAACCCTGTGTAAAAACAAACAGGAAGAACCTTTCAACCGCCCTGTGAGACTGGCCTGGGAGAAGAATTGACAGTAAAAATAGGGAGAATATGGAGGCAGGGAGAAGGTCGAGCTGTGTCCATTGTTGAGCGAGGACAGGACAATTATATCTTTGTGTACTTCTCTTCTTGTGATGTAAACCTGAGCTTTCAGGACTGTAGAAAAAGCAAAGACAGCTTTAGCCTTCCTGTCTTCTGTCTGAACCATCAGTTAGCATAGTCCTCCTTAGCTATAACGGAGTGCTGGTACTGTGCCCGGAACAGGTAAGGAGTTCTTGTCAGTGAGAGAGCCAGCATTCTCAGGGAGCGGCCAGGCTTCTTTGGTGGCTGATTTCTTATTGGCATCTAAGATTGTGTCATTTATATCAAAAACAAAACCCAAGAGGTGAGTTCTGGTGTCTGCAGGGTAGCAATCTCCTCTCTATTACCTTCTCTTAATCTTGCCAAGAAAATTGATGGTAACATCAACTTCTGTAGATTCCATAGATTTGTACGGAATGCATTCCACAAAAGAAGCTTCTTTAGGAATTTACTGTGACTTAAAATGGAATTATGGGATATTCTCATGCTTCCCTGAGATTCTTATTCCTTCATTGAGTTAGGAGCAAAATGCTTACTGCTTCATCCTTGGAGGAGAGGCAAACAGCAATTCCAGATAAATATATAGGATGTGGATTGGAAGATAGAAAGTTTTACTCCTGGTATTGAAAGTGATTTGAACAAGTAGGAAAGGCATCATTTATTTATCCATCTACTTCACATTTATTTATTGTATACTTATGAAGGCCAGGCACTGTTCTAGGTGCTGGGAAGGAGAAGATAGTTGGAGGTCAGGTTCTGGTTCATCCTTTTTTTTTTTCCCCTCCCTGTCTCCAGGAGACAGTGCTGGCTTCCTTTTTGTTTATAACTGTCAGGCATGAGTCATCCCTTCACCATCAGTATTGCAGAATCACATCGCATTCCAGTCTCATTTGTACTGCGGGCAGGAGCTCAGCCAGCAGCTCTTGCCCGTCCTCTAGAAGTTAGGCTAATCAGAACAGTGAGATCACCGCAGGAGTTTATTAACTGAGGAATGGGGAAGAGAGAGCATGGTACTTGTTTTCTATCCTTTTTTTTTTTTTTTTAGTACAAGAAATACTTAGGAGTGGAAAATGTCTTTCTAGGTGCCATTGTATCAGGCAGTACCTACCATTAGAAAACCTTGAATCCATTTTAAAAAATGAATTTGCAGCTCTGAGCAAAGGTCAACTATGTCTTAGAAAGGGTATTGCTTCTACAAATGGACTTGAGCTTTGGCTCATGGTTCTGTTGCACACGAAGAGGCCCTATGAGGAAAACCTGGAAATTTATTTTAGAATTTTAAGAAAATCCATCAAATAAACAAGCAAACAAAAATCTTCCTGAAATTTTTCTAAAGAACACTTATTTGGTTTGACTATTTAGGCTTTCTTCTGTAATACTCGCGTAATAAGTTTGATTGACTTATATCTTTAAGATATGTATATTTAAGACAGCTTTGAAATTTGAAAATAAATATTTTTAGAGCATTTTCACTTATAATTTTCTACCATACTATAACTTTCATTTCTTGGGATTTTCATCTAGTCTTTTTCTAATTATTATATGCAATTATAATGTTGGCATTAGGTAGCTGTATGTTCAACTCTAAACCGTAGAAGCTCTTACCCTTTTTTTGAATATGCCTCATGAAGTGTGGCAGTGACTCAGGGAACTGAAGGAGGGTTTGATTGTTTGTTTGTTTGTTTTAATATATTTTTATTGATTTCAGAGAGTAAGCGAGAGGGGGAGAGAGAGAGAGATTGAAACATCAATGATGAGAGAATCATTGATCAACTGTTTTGTGCACGCCCCCTACTGGGGATTGAGCCCGCAATCTGGGCATGTGCCCTTGACTGGAATCAAACCTGGGACCCTTCAGTCCGCAGGCCGATGCTCTATTCACTTAGCCAAACCGGCTAGGGCAAGGAGGGTTTGTTTTGAACGTGAGTGTGAATGTCAGACTAACCTTCCAATCAGAAAACATTCCGTGCAATTCGAGGCACAGATGAATCAGCAGATTTTTTCTTGGCCTAGGCTTGGATGGCAAACAGATGGATTTATGATGTGTTTGCTCAAATACAAATGGTGAGATGCTAAAAGCACTTTTCGCTTTAGGGGGCTCAAAGTGGCCAGCCAAGTGACACTTATGTGACCCACCTTAGAGTAAAATTTACTAGCACTTTGTTGGGGAAGGTGAGACCTTTGTGCTTTGCTGGGAATGGGAGACTTCTCTTTCTCTCCCTCCCTCTCCCCCCCCACCCCCCCTCTCTCTCTCACACACACACACACACACACACACACAGAGCATGAGAAACAATAAGCTGGCATTTCTTAGTCCTTTCTTACTTATCTAGAGAAGATCAAAAAGGAAGAGGGCCTAGGTTTTGATTTTTAAAAATATTTAATCAGAAATACATATTGCTGAAATAAGGTAAGGAATGAACACAGAACATTAATCTGAAAGAAAATAAACAAATTGTGTATCTTTTAGATTTCAAATAAAGTACAATTTCAGCATCTGACAATTGTTAAGGAGACAGACTTGGGCAGATTTGTTGTTGAGTTCTTTTATAACTGTAAAATGTGCTAGAATTCAGTGGAGGATTGATTTTTGAGCTTGTGGGCCCCCCTGAAGACATCAGGAGTTGTTGTGCCTAAATAGTGATACAGGCGTGAGTCTCCTGGTCAACCCTTAGGTCTGGAATGCCAGGCAATGTAGACAGTTTCAGAGCTATAGAGGAGCAGCAATGCAGTGAATGGAAATATATGCTCCGAAGTGCCTCAAGATCCTCAGGGAAGAAGGAAAACACAAAGCAGAAACTGTTGGCTAGGAAAAGAACCTGTAGAAGGTTTGTTCCTAAACCAAAGTCACTTTAGGAACTTGGGTATATCAGTTATGTTTGGGTTGAGTCATAGGTAAAAGACAATCAGAAAAGCAGGAGCTAGTTTACATAAGACACAGGTTAAGTTTTTTTTTCTTCACATAAAAGAAGTCTGGAGCTGGGCAGTTCAGGGCTTGTGTGGCAGCTCTGTGGTCATCAGGTTTCCACACGACCTATTTCTTTTCGTTTCGTCATCCTTAACTCTGGCTTCCACAGAGGTTTGCCTTACAGCTGCCGTATGACCATTGCTGTGCTGCCAGGCAAGAAGGGCAAGGCCAAAGGGCATACTTCTTGGTAGGATCATAGAATCATATCCCCTCTGAAGAGCTTTCCTGGAAGCCCCGCATACTTAATTGGCCACCCCTGTCCGTAGAGGACATTGCCTTTCCAAATCTTGAGAAAAAAAGGTATTTTCAAGACTCAGGTGGCTAAGATTTTGGGATACCTGTAGACTCTCAGAATAGAACAGTAATAATGTTGGGCAAACCTGGCTTTTAGGTTGCTATTGCTTGATTGGTTCAACAATATTGAGGGCTTACTGTGTGCTAGACACTGGAGTTATAATCATGAACAAGATGGACATGGTCGCTGTCCTTAAAGAGTTTATTGGCTAATGGGAAAAATGTGTTTTAAATAAATAAATTCTAAATGTGTTGAACATTAAGAAAAGGAGAGGTGGAGAGTGCTTGGGATTATGTAATAGGAAAGAATGTAAGGGTACGACATGACATACACATCAAGATTTAAAGGATGCTCGGGAGTTAGCCAGGTTAGAGATGTGGGGGTGAGGGTGTGAGAGGAGCGCAAGAGGGGGAGGCATGTTCCATCCAGGCAGACTCACTCTCAGTCTGATAATTTCCATAGTAGTTCTTTCTTCCATTATTTGTCTCATTTCTTCATCAGAGAGAATGAGTGAGAGTTTCCAAGCAACAGAGGAAGGCAGGGACTAAGTAGTATTCTTTTCATCTGAAATGGCTAAAGGTCTGCCATCTTTTCTAATTATTTGTTTTTTCACTCTCTCTAGACAAGTGCCTGCCTGCATGGGCTACACCAGGGAGGGAGGTAGGAGGTAGACAGATGATTAGGGCATGCCAAAGTACGATTGCCTCATTATAGAGCTGGACTTTGGTCTCAGTGTGGGACTTTGGGGAGGCAAGGATTGGTTGACTCTGAAGTGCTGATATGACCCCGTTACCCTTCCAGGAAGTGGACATTGTGGTAGCACCGTGCCAAGGCCTCCGGCCCACAGTGGATGTTCTGGGTGACTTGGTGAATGATTTTTTACCTGTGATAACCTATGCATTCCACAAAGATGAACTCTCCGAGAGGGATGAGCAAGAGCTTCAGGAAATCAGAAAGTATTTCTCTTTTCCCATATTCTTTTTCAAAGTACCGAAGCTGGGCTCAGAGATAATCGACTCCCCCACTAAAAGAACGGAGAATGAACGAACACCACTTCATCGCCAGCTAATTGACCTGGGCTATCTGAGCATCAGTCACTGTAACTGGGGGGCCGCTGGCCAGGACACTAAAGCTCAGAGCATGTTGGTGGAACAAAGTGAGAAGCTGAGGCACTTGAGCACATTTTCTCACCAGATGCTACAGGCTCGCCTGGTCGACGCAGCCAAGGCCCTGAACCTGGTGCACTGCTGCTGCCTTGACATCTTTATTAACCAGGCCTTTGACATGCAGCGGGACCTGCAGATTACTCCCAAACGTCTGGAATATACGCGAAAAATGGAAAATGAGTTGTATGAATCATTGATGAGTATTGCCAACCGAAAGCAGGAGGAAATGAAGGACATGATTGTTGAGACGCTTAACACCATGAAGGAGGAACTTCTGGATGAAGCTGCCAACATGGAGTTTAAAGGTAGGTCCCTGAGAGCTCGCTCGGTGGGGTGCCGGGACTACAGGAGCCTCTGCCCTTTCCAGCTGGAAATGGAGAAACTCAGGCTTGTCTCATGTACACCGCTGCCATTAGCAGGAGCCACTGTAAACATTCAGCCAAGGTGGCCTCTTGTTCTCAGAGACCTTCCTAGAAGATGCCCCTGTCATTCCTTCCCTGGACTCTTAGCCCACCTGTTGGTGAATCCATCCTAATAGTGCTCTGTAATCTCCAGTCTGTGTCTGGGTCCCTTGACCTTATGGAGCTGGAGAAGAGTTGCTTGAAGAATGATACTAAGTCATGCTTTCACCTTGGCTCCTTTGGCAGAGCCGCATACTTTATTGGTCCTTTTGTGTGTGAGTCATGGTGTCCATTTTCTTTTCAGGTTGCTCTTAAAACCCAACTTAGAAAGATTTCACAAAGTAGTGTTTTTAGCTTCTCTGGTGGTCCCTTTCTTACAAATGGCTATGAAGAAAGTTGGGCCAAAGTGGTTAGTCAGATCTTTTGGTTTTAGATGCTGTTGACTTTGTATACTGACAGCTGCATAAACATTAGCTCTACTACCCATTAACATGACATGGTTTGCAAGTTACACCTGGGAGGCTTTTTGAAAATATAGATGCTCGAGACTACTAACTCATCAGAATTTCGGACATGGGACCTAGCATCTGGTGTGTGTGTGTGTGTGTGTGTGTGTGTGTGTGTGTGTGTGTGTGTGTTTCAAAAACAACCTCCCTAGGTGAATTCTATTTATTGCCATTTTCTAGATGAGGGAACTGAAGCTTAGGTTAATTTGCTCAAGGTCACACAACTCCTAAGCAGTAGAGGCAGAATTTAAATCGATATAGTCTGATTCCTGAGCCTATACTCTGTTTCCTATGCTTTACTTCTTAATCTGTTTTTAGGTGCTGGATGCCACTGTCTTCCTGGTAACCAGCTTCAAAACCTTGGCATAGTCTTTAACTGTTTTCTTTCTCTCATCCACACATCCAGTTGGTTGCCAATTCCTGATGTGTCTTCTTCCACATTGTACATATGCCTTTGCTTTCCTATTCCTCCTCTTTAGTCTAATGGAACTGTTGTTACCTGATTGATCTCAGTGACATCTTTCTCTGCTTCTCCAGTTCATCATTATTGGCTCCCTGTTCCTACAGACTACGTTTAGACTCCTTTGCCTAGTATTAAAGGTTTTCCCAAGCCTGGCCCTTACCAACTTTCCCAGTCTTATTTCCCACTATGCACCTTCCTGTAATTTCTGCTTGGGTTGCTCTCAACTGCTTGCTGTCCTCTATATGTTCCTTTTCCGTTTCCTTTGCTCATGCCCTGCTCTAAACCGGAAATGTCTTATATTGTCTGTGAATGCTACTTACCCTTCAAGCCTCTTCCAAGTAACATTTTTCATGAAGTTTCTTTACTTTTCTTAGCTATTTTATTATAGTTATTAATAATTATGTTGTTCTATTTTCTAAAATCCTAAAGGTGAAGTAGAATAGGATCGGGATCTTATATCCCCTGCAGCAAATAGCACAGTCTGTTATAGTACATCTTTGGAGAATGAATGAGTATTGAATGACGGTATATGGCTGCTAAACTTATAGATACATAGGATGCCTCATTTCTTACCTGTATTTCTAAAGATGAACAAAAATACCTCTTTGTTGACTTCCTACAGTGGGGAGGAGTTGCTGAGAAATGCTCACTTGCAGTGGAAATCCTAGGAAGTCTCCTGAATAATTAGAGAGACTGGAGCAGCAGTGCTGGTACCATAGAGCACATAGGGCAGCTAGGTTGGGCATTGAAATATTTGATTGCCTATTATGTGCCAGGCATATCATGTTTGGTGTCTAGGATACAATGGTTAGTTCAACAGACGTGGGAGTAACTGGGAACAAGTAGATCATGTCTGGCTTTGTTAACTGCATTGTGTTTTTGTGAATCTTCTTACCTGGTTGGCTTATGTGCCTACTTCTTATGTTGTTCTAAGTCCTTTCTGGGTATTCTTGAGGCAATGATAAATAGATTTAGGAGATATCTACCACATGTTCTATGGAGCCAGATTCTTATTACTGTGTTGTTGTTTTTTAATAAAGATCATGCATACACACTTAGTATCATGACATACATACTTTATAAAATATTTGTTGCTTGAAAAGATAATACTGTATGCATGATACTTAACTCAAAGGTGTCAAAGATACTGTCCCCCAGTTTTCTTCCATATCTTCTGCCCCTTGTTTTTACATTTACTTCATGTCTTAGAGATCTTTCCATAAATGTGCATATAAGTTTGTCTTCTTCTAATGCATCTATACCTAAATTTATTTGACTACTCCCCTACTGATGGACATTTAGTCTATTTCTTTTTCTTTTCTTTTTTTTACTATTACAAACTGCTCTGCATTGATCATTGTTGTCCATATATATCTTTGGGACTTGTAAGGGTATATTTCTAGAAAAATAATTTCTAGAAGCACAGTAGTTAGGTAAAAGGGTATATAGGGGTTTTGTTGTTGTTGTTGTTGTTAGTTGGTGAGCTTAGAATTTTGGTAGATGTTGCCAGATTTCCTCCAAAGAGGTGACATTAAATTTTCACCAGTAGACAGAAGAATGCCTTTTTAGGAGTGGAGTTTTTGTAGGTTATTTATCTCCTCTTAACTTCTTCTGTCCTCTGGCTTGCAAAACAGCCATTGGTGGGGATAACCAATGCTCCAATTTTCATATTTATATAATTTTTTAATATTTACCTAACAATTGATTAGAATTGAATGCCTAACTCTGGGATTTTTCTCAATATGCTAGGTGGTGGGAAATATGACTTTGGAACTCATGAGCTTTGGGTTCAAATGCTGGCTGTAGTACTTCATGACTGGACATTTCCAATGCCCAGTTTGTCCTCTCTGTGAGGCTGTTTTCTGATCTATAAAATATAACCAATAATACCCAACCTGACAAAGTTATTGTGAGGATTAAATTAGACTACATATGTAAAATACTTACTATAGTGCTCTCAAAGAGTCTGCACTCAATAAATGTTCTTCCCTTCTTATAAATGTGACCAAAAAGCTAACAAAATCAATAGGCTTATTCTATATACAATTGTTCCTTCTTAGGATTCTTAGCTCCTTTAAGTACTTGAGGATTACATGGCTCCTGATCATCCTGAGGGTCAGAATTCATCAGTTGACCATTTGTTTTATAGCCACTGTCATGGTAGCTCCTTGGCTTGGGAGATGCCTGTATTCAGTGTGCCCGCCCTTCCCTGCCAACGAGCTCATTTCTCTGCCTCTGCAGATGTCATTGTTCCTGAGAATGGGGAACCAGTGGGCACCAGAGAGATCAAATGCTGCATTCGACAGATCCAGGAACTCATCATCTCCCGGCTGAATCAGGCCGTGGCTAATAAGCTGATCAGCTCGGTGGATTACCTACGTGAGAGCTTCGTTGGAACCCTAGAACGGTGTCTGCAGAGCCTAGAGAAGTCTCAGGATATCTCAGTTCACATCACCAGTAATAATCTCAAACAGGTACTCAAAGAGTGTTTAAGACACCATGTTACAGATAACACATGAAACAGAATCCACACATAAGCCCAACTTCAAGGTAGCCAGCAATTTCCCTTTCAACATTTTGCTGATCCAGTTAGAATTTTGTTTTGTTTTCCTGTCATATGACCACTGCCTGTGGGGGGTGCTCGTGAACTGTATAATCGCAGTTAAGGCACTGAGCACGAAGGTGAAGAAAAGGGGCCCAAATAGTCACAACATAGATGATCAACTTGCATTGACTCTGCACTTATATTGAGGGATAAGTTTGAGAACCTTGAGACCAGGCTATATTCTTGAAGTAAATATCATTTATTGCCTTTTGTAAAAAACCACTTAGGGCATACTGATTTTCTTCTGTGTGTTCTCTTCCAGATCTTAAATGCTGCCTATCATGTGGAAGTCACGTTTCACTCAGGTTCCTCGGTTACAAGGATGCTGTGGGAGCAAATCAAACAGGTAGAGGTTGCTTAGAGAAAAAATGGTCAGCCTTCAGTTGACTCGAATGAATCTTAGTCACAATACCTAGGATCTGTTAGTGTGAGGTGGCCATTTTCCCTAGTTTGCCTTCCTGGGAGAATTCTGGTTCTTGCTTATTCTGATGTAATTATTAACATTGCTACCTTGAACTCCTAAAAGTGGTGTATTTAAGTTCTATTTTATGGACCCGTAAGACTGCTTCACTAGCTTTTTCATATTTCTTTGTTCAAACCTAAATGTTTTCTCAGAACCAGGCTTTATTGCCTGAGGCCATATGTGGTTCCTTTTAAATGGAGTTATTTACTAACTTCACAGAGGGATTTATCAGGTACTTCCTGGTACTGGATATAATGTATTGAGAGTTTGTGAGCATGTACACTAGGCCTACTGTTCTTTAATGCTTTCCTTTGGGCTGAGCCCTGATTTTGAAGTAGATAGAATTAGAGTGGAGTCTTAGACTTCATAGGGCTTCTGTCTTAAGAATGGATAAACCAGCCATGGCGGGGTAGCTCAGTTGGTTAGAACATCATCCTGACCCTTCAAGGTTGTGGGTTCGTTTAATCTTTAGTCAGGGCACATACAAGAATCAACCAAGGAATGCACAAATAAGTGGAACAACAAATCAGTGTTTTTCTCTCTCTCCCTCTCTTTCCCCTTTCCACCTCTCTCTTCCTCTCTCCTTCCCTCCTTCCCTCTCCCCCTTCCTCTCTAAATCAATTTAAGAAAGGAAGGAAGGAAGGAAGAAAAAGAAAGGAAGGAAGGAAGGAAGCCAGCCCTGGATGGTGAGGTTCAGTTGGTTGGGCATCGTCCCATATACCGAGCTGATTGCTGTTGCTGGTTTGATTCCCAGTCAGGGCACATGCCCAGATTGCAGGCTTGATTCCCAGTAGGGGGAGTGCAGGAGGCAGCTGATCTATGCTTTACTCTTCATTGATGTTTCTCTCTCTCCCTCTTCCTTCCTCTAAAAAAATCAATTAAAAAATATTTTAAAAAGAATGGAGAGGGTCTGGTGTATTTTAGTGGTTTCTGTGTCCCATCCTCAATGTTCTTATTATTCTTGTCCTGGCAGATCATCCAGCGCATCACGTGGGTGAGCCCACCTGCCATCACAATAGAATGGAAGAGGAAGGTGGCCCAGGAAGCCATTGAGAGCCTCAGTGCCTCCAAGTTGGCCAAAAGCATTTGCAGCCAGTTCCGGACCCGGCTCAATAGTTCTCATGAGGCTTTTGCAGCCTCCTTGAGGCAGGTGGGTATGTAGGGAGGGAGATACAGCTGGGTCAAGCAGAGAAGAACCTCATCCATTGGGGAATATTTTGCTCCTGTTCACATAATTTTTAAGAAGTCATCAGTGTGTGTGTGTGTGTGTATATATATATTTTTTTTTTATTATTATTCTGTTAAAGGGTGTCTGGCCCACAGGCCATATAAGGCCCATGAAATCATTTGGTCTGGCCCTGCCAAGGCATTAGGAGTGAATTAATTAAATGTTTGACCAAATGTAGAAAACATAGGCTAATTTTCAAGTTGATAATTTTGTATGGCCTGTGAATGATGTTATAAATATCCAAATGGCCCTTGGCAGGAAAAAGGTTTCCTACCCTCTACGTTAAGGATAATACCACATCACAGGAAGTTTTGTTAATAAGTTTTTCATGTGGATATTTTTCTATTTTAACTCTAGGGAGAATGCAGGGAATCAGTTAATTTCTCCCCATTTCATTGAATAAGGAATAAAAGTCCAGGGGCAGGAATTTTGTGTAAGTTTATGTAGAATTTTAGGATTGATGACAGAAAGGGATGATTATCCAACTTCAATACTAATTTGTAATTATATGACATCTTCTTGTCCCTTTGGTGTGTGTGTGAGAGAGAATATGTGTTATATGTGTGTGCTGGGTGAGGGTGGGTAGATGTGATATGCATCCAGGAGGAAAAATTACTACTTGTTGAGAGCCCATTATGACTAATCTCTGAGCTAAATATCTTACATACAAATTATTTAATTCTCACAGTTATTCTGATGAGGCAGATATTATTCTTATACAACAGGGGAGGAAGCCAGAGCTAGGACTTAACTAGGTCATGTCTTCTTTGTGTGTGTGTCCTCCCAGCTGGAAGCTGGCCACTCAGGCCGGTTGGAGAAAACTGAGGATCTGTGGCTGAAGGTTCGGAAAGATCATGCCCCCCGCCTGGCGCGCCTTTCTCTGGAGAGCCGTTCTTTACAGGATGTCTTGCTGCATCGTGAGTCTTTTTCCACAAGTAAATTGGAGGAGGGTTCTCCTGTTCAGCCTTGGAGAATCCGAGTGTCCAAAGCTGCATCCTTGCAAAGCTGCCTAGCACTCCCTGATGTGTTGTTGCATTCCTGAAGTGTGTGTGGTTCTGCTATTTATGTACTCCAAAGAACATGACCGAAGTCTATTTCCATCAAACCAGTTAGGTTACTTTCTGCTGGCTTTGAATGACATCAGAATCTTTCCCAAGCATAGTTATGACTTCCTGCCTCTAGGCAGGTCCATGGCTAAGAATTTTGGGGAGGTTGCCCAGCAAGTTCCCATCCCTCCTGCCTTATCTCTGTCTCTGTACCTTGTAGATAAACCTAAACTGGGACAGGAACTGGGCCGAGGCCAGTATGGTGTGGTGTACCTCTGTGACAACTGGGGGGGACACTTCCCTTGTGCCCTCAAGTCGGTGGTTCCTCCCGATGAGAAGCACTGGAATGACCTGGCCCTGGAGTTTCACTACATGAGGTGGGTAGGGTCTCGTTCACCTCGGTGGGAAAAGATCCAGAGAAGAAGCCAGAGCCTGGCATAAATTTTGTACCAAGAGCTACAGCATGCCGGGTCTCTCCACACCCAGGTCTAAGAATGTGGTGGACCAGTATTTCCATGTCTGGTCTGAAACTGCTCTCTTCAAGGTCTTTACGTTCTTTGGCTGCCCTTTCCCAACATCCTAACTTCTCAGACTCATCCTTTCATTTGACTTTCTTCCTCATTTTTAGATTCCTTAGTTCTTAATCAATTTTTAGATTCCATAATTCTTTGTCCTTGTTTGAGAAGCCATTCTCTGTGCCCTCTCTCTGTACTGAGGGCCATTACCTATGGACCTAGACTAAGCATGTCTTCAGGGTGTTCCTTCCCACATGGTGGCATGCTGTGCATTATAGCCCAGACCTCTCTCCTTCCTGCCAGGTCTCTGCCGAAGCATGAGCGGTTGGTGGACCTCCATGGTTCTGTCATCGACTACAATTACGGTGGTGGCTCCAGCATTGCCGTGCTGCTCATTATGGAGCGTCTCCACCGGGACCTCTACACTGGGCTGAAGGTGAGGCGAGGCAGGGAGAGTGAGGTCCAGCTGACGGCCAGATCCGCAGGTTCCTGCCTGGCCTTTCATCCTTTCTTGTTTGTTTAGAGCTTCAACCTTTTATAAGAAATTGTTGGAATAATCAAGCTTTATTACCCTTATTTCCAAAAAATCTTTAAAAATTTTTCAGAATCTATTTTTTGGCCCAGTTCATATCCAGAATACTGTAACTTAACCACTTTTCCGTCCTGTGGTGGGGAAAATCTAGACTACTCAGAAGCACAGAAAAACTTCCTGTAACGCCGCTGTTCTTTCCCTTTTTGCTGTCAATGTATATCCAGTTTTTGTTGTTTAGTCAACACATATGTTTAGTAGTGAATACTTTGTACAAGGCCCTTTATTAAGCACCATAGAGTCAAAAAGTATAATTACCAGGACTTTGAAGAGAATTATAGTCAGTGAATATTCTATGAAGATGGGGCATTTGAGTGTAACAAGTACACATTGATGGCTAACATTTGGACAGTTAGGAAGAAGAGGCCATACCAGGGGGAGGAAATAGTGCAATGCCAAGAGCATTGGAAGGCCAGTAAGGACACTCATCAACATTGGAAGAGCTGGTTCATTTTGGAATTGTTGAGGGGGCAGGGGGTAACGTGTCAAGCAATGTTTGGAGCAAGTTATAGAGGACTGAAAATGTTCAGAGTTTCCATAGAATTCAAATTCTGTTAATAGATAGCAAGAAGCTATCAAAAGATTTTATTCAAGTGAAAGACCCTCAGTTGGATGCTGTGTTTCCCTCATCTAAAATAACCACCAAAAGGACTAGAGGTTTCTTTTGTCTACGACTGGAGCTTAGTAGAATGGGGGGAAAGCTAACCCAGGATATCTGGGTAGGCCCCTTCCCATAGATTTCTCCTGTACCAGTTTGCTTGGAAGCTTCCAGAAGTAGGACAGAAGAATCCTAGAAATGCTTGCAGGAACCATGAGAAGTCAGTATGATGTTTAGGGGTTAGAATGAGCTCATGGCTCTAATCATTTGGTTGCACCTCTCCTAGTCACATGTGGGGATTATCCAGCTGAAGTGCAGCCTCCAAGGGATTCTCTCTGGCCTGCATAGCTTGCCCTTCTTTGCTTTTTCTTTACTTCCCTCTCCTAACTGATTTCCTCTTCCCCCTTTTTTCCATCCACTTTTCTGTCCTTGTATACCCCAGTGCAGCCAGTCTTTCAGACCCCACACAAGGAACTCTTCGTTGGTGTAAGCAGATTGGATTGACAAGTTGTCTTGCTAGTGACAAATAAGCTTTTGTTTCCCCAAGGCTGGGCTGACCTTGAAGACACGTTTGCAGATAGCACTAGATGTGGTGGAAGGAATCCGCTTCCTGCACAGCCAGGGACTCGTCCACCGTGATATCAAACTGAAAAACGTGCTGGTAAGGAAGAGCTGCTTCTCCAGCAGAACGTGCTGCCTCTGGGTCAAGTGGTCTTTCTAGGAGAAGACTGGAGGGGAAGTAGTAGAGTTAATAGCAGAGTAGTTGGGTGGTATTTTGGACTTAACGTTGAGGGGGGACTTGCATCAGAGACCCAGTTCATATTGCTTTAGGTTTTTTTTCTCCCAACACTTGAAAACATTTAAACTTACAGAAAAATTAAAAGAGCAGTGCAATGAAAGCCTATATACTGTTCACCCAGATTCATATTCTTTATTTTCCTAGTGGTCTCTACACACACACACACTTTTCTTATGAAAATAAATTGCAGATAACCTGTCATTCCTAAATATAGATATACCTTGTTTTATTGTGCTTTGCTCAACACACTTCACAGATACTGTGTTTTTTATAAATCGAAGGTTTGTGACAACTTTGCCTTAAACAAGTGTACTGGTGCCTTTTTTCCAATAGCATTTGCTCGCTTCATGTTGCTGTGTCACATTTTGGTAATTTTTGTTGTTATATTTGTTATGGTGATTTGTGATTAATGACCTTGGATGTTACTATTGAAATCGTCTTGGGGCGCCACAAGCCACACCCATATATGGTGACAAACAATTATTAAATGTGTGTGTTTTGACTGCTCTACTGATTCCCTGACACACAACAATGTTGAAATTAGGCCAATTAATAACCTCACAATGACCTCAAAGTGTTCAGGTGAAAGGAAACATCACCCATCTCTCACTTTAAATTAAAAGCTAGAAATGATTAAGCTCAGTGAGGAAGGCACGTCGGAAGTCAAGAGGCCAAAAGCTGGGCCTCTTGTGCTGGTTAGTCAAGTTGTGAATGCAAAGGAAAAGTTCTCGAAGGAATGGAAAAGTGCGGCCCAGTGAACACACATATACTAAGAAAGCAAAACAGCCTATTGCTGATGAGGAGAATGGTCTAGAGGTCTGGATGGAAGATTAAACCAGCCACATTTCCTTAAGTCAAAGCCTAATCCAGAGCAAGGCCCTAGTTCTTTCCAGTTCTTTTCAAGGCTGAGAGAGGTGAGGAAGCTGCAGACAAAAAGTTTGAAGCTAGCCCAGGTAGGTTCACAGGGTTTAAGGAAAAACTCTGAAGCAGCAAGTGCTGATGTAGCAGCCGCAGCACGTTGTCCAGAAGATCTAGTTAAGATAATGAATGAAGGTGGCTACACTGAACAACAGATTTTCAATGTACATGAAACAGCCTTCTATTGGAAGATGAGGCCATCTATGAGGTTCTCCGCTAGAGAAGATCATGGCTGGCTTCAAAGGTTCAAAGGACAGGCTTACTCTCTTGTTAGGGGCTAATGCAGCTGGTGACTTCAAGTTGAAGCCACTGATCATTTACCATTCTGGAAATCCTAGAGCCCTTAAGAATCACACTAAATCTATTCTGCCTGTGCTCTATAAGTGGAACCACAAAGCCTGGATGACAGCACATCTGTTTACAACATGTTGGCTGAATATTTTAAGCCCACTGTTGAGACCTACTGCTCAGAAAAAAAGATTCCTTTTAAAATATTACTGTTCAGTGACATGTTCCTGGTTATCCAAGAGCTCTGATGGAGATGTATAAGGAGATTAATGTTGTTTTCATACCTGCTAACAAAACATCCATTCTGTAACCGATGGAACAAGGAATAATTTTGACTTTCAAGTCTTATTATTTAAGGGATACATTTTGTGAGGCTACAGCTGCCATAGATAGTGATTCCTCTGGTGGATCTGGGCAAAGTAAATTGAAAACCTTCTAGAAAGGATTCACTATTATAGATGCCATTGAGAACATTTGTGATGCATGGGAAGAGGTCAAAATATCAACATTAACAGGGCGTTTGAAAGAAGCTGATTCCAGTTCTCATGGATGTCTTCAAAGGGGTTCAAAGTTTCAGTGGAGGCTTTAGAAATGGAGCCCAAAGATGTGACAGAATTGCTACAATCTCATGATAAGACGTTAATGAATGAGGAATTTCTTCCTATGGATGAGCAAAGAAAGTGGATTGTTGAAATGACAACAAAGGATTTAGAATGTTACATAAACGTAGTTGTTAAAGCAGCAGCAGGGTTTGAGAGGACTGACTTGAATTGTGAAAACAGTTCCACGGTGGGTAAATGCTATCAAACAGCATCACATGCTACAGAGAAATTGTTAGTGAAAAGAAGAATCAATTGATGCAGCAAACGTCATTGTTGTTTTAAGAAATTGCTGCAGCCACCACCCTGATCAATCAGCAGCTATCAACATTGAGGCAAGACCCTGCACCAGCAAAAAGATTACAGCTCACTGAAGTCTCAGATGATGGTTAGCATTTTTTGCTGTTGTTCATATCTCTTCAGTGAGATCATAGGCTCCTGTGCATGTCATTGGAGGTAGAGCTAGCACAGTCCTTCCAGCACAGCCCCTCTCCTCAGGACTCCAGCCCTTTCAGACAAATTCTGGGAGGGCAGGGAGAGCCCGAGGAGAACTCAGGGAGTTGGGACCAGCCCCACAGAAGAAACTTGGGGTATGGGATCTAGGGGCAATGTACAAGGGACGTGGTCCCCAGATCTAGCCCTAGCCTCCTTGACTGACTCACCCGTGCGGGAGTCAGGATAAGGGCAGAGTTCCATACCCAAGTCACCAGTCAGCTGGTAATAGTGTCAGGATATGGGGGCAGGGCTCAATCCATGCCCCAGGCTCCCTCTGCTGATGAGGGGGGCACTCTGGGGGGAAGAAACACCTTTCGTGTTTGCTCCTTTGCAGTGGGCAGGGCAGCTAGTAGTAGAGGAGCCGCAGTCATTCCCTGGGAACAGTCAAGGGGCACCCTGGATGGTAGTGTAAGGAGGTGGTGTGACTGGGAGGTGAACCACATCCTCATAGGCTGGGGGGCTTGAAGGCACTGAGGAGGCGAAGGTCAAGCAGTGAACTGGTAGGAACAGGGCCAGCTCCGTGTTATGCTCTGTGGCATGCTCCGTGGTGGGCCAACAAGTTGATCTCATGCTGCCGCTGCTGTTGCTGCAGCCAGAGTTTAGCTCGTGGATGACGGAATGTGCAACAGTAGTTAAAGAGGATGAGGACAGTCCAGAGCGGCCAGAACCACCAGAGCTCGTAGTAGTAGGTGCAGCAGCCAGGCTCCCTGCAGCGGTGACCACTCTCACAGAAGTAGGGCTGGTTGTTCACTCCTATGCAAAGCTCTCAAAGCTGTCATGTGACACCCAAAGTGCCCCTCAGGCCTCCTCGCTGCTGGCCTGAACCATGCCTCCACCTACAGTTCCCTAAAGACTGCAGCCTCCTCTACCACCAGCCACCCCGCCCCTGCCACCTCTGCCGCTACTGCCATGGTCCCTGCCCAGCCCATCTGCACTACTGCCACCATCAGTCTGAGGCCAAAGCTCGCATCCTGATGGTTAGCATTTTTTACCAATAAAGTATTTTTTAATTAATCTACATACCTTGTTTTTTAAAAGATATATTGCTATTGCACACTTAACAGACTTACAGTATAATATAAAAATAACTTCCATGTGCACTGGGAAACCAAAAACTTCATGTGACTTGCTTTATTGCAATATTATATTGGCTTTATAGAAGTGTTCTGGAACCGTACCTGCAATATCTCTGAGGTATGCCTGTACTTCAGCTTGTATCTCCTAAAAAAAAAAAAAAGGGACATCTTCTATGTAATTAAAATGCCATATCATGCCCACTGGCATGGCTCAGTGGTTGAGCATTGACCTATGAACCAGGAGGTCATTGTTCGATTCCCGGTCAGGGCACATGATTGGTTGCAGGCTCGATCCCCAGTGTGGGGTGTGCAGGAGGCAGCTGATCAATGATTCTCTCTCATCATTGATGTTCTATCTTTCCCTCTCTCTTCCTCTCAGAAATCAATAAAAATATATTTTTTAAAATGCCATTATCACACCCAAGCAATTTAACATTGATATACTATTAGTTAATATACTGTCTGTATTAACATTTTCCAGTTGTCCCAAGTATGTCCCATTATCTCACATACAGTCTATTTATTTGATCCAAGATCCAAGCCAAGGATCATACAGTGCATTTTGTTGTCATATTTCTTTAGCCTCCTTTAATCTAGAATAGTTCTTCTGCCATTTTTGCTTTGTGACAGTGATATTTTTAAGGATTCCAAGTCTTGTTATTGCTTAGGGTTTGATCAGAAATACTGGACTGAGATGGGTAAATGCTCCTTAAAATGTCATGAGACTCTTATCTAAATTACAAAGAATCTTTTGACATACTCCTCTCAAGAACAGATTGGATTATTCTTGGGTTGTCTCTGGCATCACTTAAATGATGTGTAAAGACATAGCAATTTGGGGGAAATGAAAGATCTTCTTAAAATTATAGGCTGAAATCTAAGAGGCTTCTCAATTACCAAATCAGACACAGGTTTATTCTCTTGGACCTTTAGGAAAGGAAACTACAGAGAATTCCAGAAACTTCCTTCAGCTGCCCAGAGGACCTCAGTGTTCTTACTTAGAAGCTTTGTTCCCTGGTGCCTGGAGGTCAGAGGATAATAATCAGGAACTGAAATACTTTCCACAGTGTTCTTCACTTATTCATTCTTCCAAGATTTGTCAAGCTCCTGAAAGTGCGGGGCACTATGCTAAGTGCTGGGAACCCCAAGATGAAAAAGGCAGTCCCCCCATCAGGTTGCTTACAGTCTGGGGAGAAGATACTCTTGGGAATGAATCTGGAGACGGAGGCAGGAGGCAGGATTGGTTAAGTACTGCTATGAGGTAGACACCTACTTGCGAGTTTGGGATGCAGCTGAGCTGAATGCTCTGTGCAGGATCAGACACAGGGTGACTCTTACCCTGTTTTGTTGGCAGTTGGACAAGCAGAACCGAGCCAAGATCACTGACTTAGGATTCTGTAAGCCAGAGGCCATGATGTCAGGCAGCATTGTGGGGACGCCAATCCATATGGCCCCTGAACTTTTCACAGGTAAGCTGGAGGGCAGGGAGTGGGTTTAGATGGGGCTCTGTACTCTGACCTGAGTGCTACCCTTTGAACTATGGGCAGTGTCCACAAGTAGTCCTGGCAGATCCAGCACAGGCAAGGGAGAAAGGAGAACAGGAAAAACTAAGACAAGTGGGGGGAAAGTAAAGAGGAAAAGGGGCCAGAAAGAAAAGTGCAAATAGGAGTCGCCAACTATTCTTTTGGATGTCTCTCTGGGCCATAACTGCCATAATAACCAATTATTTAATCATAAGGAATGGATTGAATAACTCCTATACTATGTTAGGAGTTGTTGCCTATCATTAAAGAACTTATAGATAGCAGAGATATACTAACAGGTAAAATAACTAAGAGGGCAGTATAAGACAACATGTGATAAAGTGCTAACTTAAATGCTACATGATGTAATGTTGGTATTCAGAAAAGGGATAAATGAAGGTTGAAATGTCTGATAGTTTTGTGGTAGAGGTAATATTTTAGTTAGAGCTTGAGTCTGATCTGGAAAAATTGGTAAGTGGGAAAGGAATTCATATTTATTAAGTATATTCTTTGAGCTAGGCAGCATATATTTTTCATATATTTTATTCCATTTAATCCTCACTAGAATTCTGCAGTGATATTGATGCATTTTTGTGTCTATATTATGGATAAAGTTAGGTCAAGGCCAGATTGCTAAAGAATCCACCCAGGACACTGAGCTAGCAAGTCATGGAACTAGAAGTGGAATCGAGGTCTTTCTGTTTCTAGTATCTAACCATGTATCATGAAAGAAAGAAATTCTGGAAGCTGAGGAATGGAAAATAGGGAAAAATGCAGAATAGAAATAAGCATGACAGGAAAGAAATCCATTTGGGGAATACTAGCAAACCAAGTTGGAGAGAAAATGCAATGAGCTTGAAATTCACACAGAGGAGTGAAGAATTAATGTTGAAGAAGTAAGGTGCTATTGCACTCTTGAGCAGGTAAGGAATGAAAAATGTTTATGGAAGATTAGCTTAGCAGCAGTAGGTAGAGGGAACTTGAGTGGCAAGAACCAACATAGGGAAATGGAGGCTGTCTTCATGATTAGGTTGTGCTGAAACAAAAAACAGTGACAGATTTAAGATAATTCAGAGGAGGAATGGGCAAGTTTTTTAAAAGTTGATATGAGTGATGAACAGAAACAATCACTCCAAGGTTTGATCCTGAGTAGATGAGGAGGGGTTGTATGATTGTTGGGGAAAATGGAAGGTAATCACAGATTACTTAGTGGCATTGGTAGGAGTTAAATTAGCAATATATCTGAATCCTCTCATCAGCCTCGTGCACAAATCCTCCCCCAGCCCTTCACTGAGTGATCCACATAAGAATTAGGACTTAGCTGGAGGGCTATAGTCCTGCCCACATCGAACAAAGTTCACAGTCATCCTTTTTCTTTCTCTAGACTTACTTTTTAAAATTAAATTTCTGCAGAACCAAGTAATAGAAGCTCTAAGCCAAACTAGAAATAAACCATTTAGATGTCTATTAATATAAAACAGATACCTAAATTGTGAGAGAATCATTGGAATACTGAATCTCAATGAAAGTGAAATACATCTAGTAAAACATGGATTAATTTCACAAATAAAACAATAACTCAAAGAAGCCAAATACAGCACCGCACGTATGATATGGTTCTATATAAATAAAGTTCAAAACTAAAGAAAAAAAATTAAATTTCTGTTTCCCCTGCTATCATGTTTTTTTGGCTACTTCGTATTTAAATTCTTTGGATTGTTTCTACTGCAGTCCATTCTGTTGCTGTCAGAATAATCTTTCTAAAATACTTTTCTTCATGTCGTCTACTGCTCTGAAGCATAAATGACTTCTGTTGTCCACTGACTCCTGATTCTTCTGTCTGCCTATAAAAATCTTTATACTCTGGTTCCAACTTGCCCACCCACCTGTATTTCTAACTTTATTTCCCTAATATGACCTTAATCTTTTTGACTGTCCCATTAAAATAAAAGGCATGTTTTCCTTCTCCTTTGTCAAGTTCTAGTCTTGGGTCTCTTAATACCTAGCTTTAGCCTTCACTGCCATAGTTCTTTTTATTATAAAATGGGCATTATGAATGTGTCCTGCCTAACAGGATTGTTATGAGAGATAATGGATGCTAAAAGCTTTAGAAAAAAGTGTGTAAAGACCTCTGCAGGTGCAAGTTAGTGGTGATGCTATTGATGTCTCTCCCTGGCTCACTGTGTGTCACCCCTTCTTGCTGTAGGGAAGTATGATAATTCCGTGGATGTCTACGCTTTTGGCATTCTTTTCTGGTATATCTGCTCAGGCTCTGTCAAGCTCCCTGAGGCATTTGAGAGGTGTGCCAGCAAAGACCATCTCTGGAACAATGTGCGGAGAGGTAAGAGCCACAAGCCCTACTTTGTTCAAACTCCCCTGTTAATAGCAGACTGAGACCAGGCACTGCAGCAGGGCCTCCCATCAGGCAACACGTTACGAAACTATCTCAAAAAGGCTTTTCTTTAAAATTTCCAACTCTTCAACTTGCTATGCCAGTGTGTTCCAGTTTACCATCACTGTTACTATTAGGTTCCAACCTAGGTGTTTGCAGTTGAAGTCAAAGCTTATTGCATTCTTGAGCATCCTGAGCCCCAACTGGGTCATCAGCCTGAGAGCTGAGCATGCCTGTTTGTTGTATTGGTCGCCCTCTCACTAACTCTGGTCTTATTTCCATGCTCCTTTCTCTAGGGGCCCGCCCCGAACGCCTTCCTGTGTTTGATGAGGAGTGCTGGCAGCTGATGGAAGCGTGTTGGGATGGCGACCCCTCTCAGAGACCTCTCTTGGGCATTGTCCAGCCCATGCTCCAGGGCATCATGGACCGGCTATGCAAGTCCAATTCTGAGCAGCCAAACAGAGGGCTAGATGATTCTACTTGAAAGCAAAGACCTTTCTCTTTTACTCTTTATTTCTTTCCTTCCCCCACTTTTTGGCCATGGGAAGAATTTGACAGTTGTTTTTTAAGAGAGCTCCCAGGGGAACTGATGCTTGCTGGGCAGCTTGAAACCTCCCCAGGCAGAGGTGACTCCTGGATAGTGCTGTCCGAATGGCTGAGCATATTCAGCAGTTCACTGATGCCTCAGCTATTTCTTTAGCAAAAGATTGTCTAGGACATGGGTAAAAGGCTGAAGAAAGCAATGTTCTGGCCTCAGAACTGAAAAGGAGGTAAATGTTACCATTGTCCGTTTCACTGTATGTTTCTAAGACAAGTGGGACACTGCATTGGCAATAGTATTAAAAACTATAATTTTCATAGTTTTGGCATTAGCTAGGGATAGTTTGGTTCTATCCACTTGTCAGAACCATTAGAAAATGTAAGCTCGGTTCTGGAATTGTGAAAACATAGGCGCAAAAACGTAACGTGCGGATACTGAGACCCAGAGATCTCCGGTTGCAATAGCCAGAGGCCCCAGCGATAACGCTAGAAACAAAGCTCTCTGTTCCTTCCAATGCCAGTGTGTTTACACTTACAGGACCACATAGCCCTGACTTCTGGGAGAGTACTTCACAGTTACATCACCAAGAGGCCACAAAGACAAAAGTGTGTGCGTGCGTGTGCGCGAGCTATTGGAGTTTGAGTTACCGCTACTCCTAAAACAGAATCTCTTCTACCCTTGGGTCTTCATTTTTTTTCTCTTTTCGTCCTCAAGATGAGGAAGCGCCAGTTAACATGATACTTAGGGGTGAGTGTCTGAATAAAATTGACTCAGTGTGAAGTATTTGGTGAGCCTGAGAAGTGGACAGTGATCTGGAGGCCGTGGGTCTCCATACAAACCCACTAGACGGATACCAGCTTGTTTTTTAAAACTTAAAAAAACCCCAGAAACTCTTCCTTTTGAGTTTGAATCTAACACACTGATGTTTTCAAACTTGATCGTTGAGCTTTTTAACCATGGTTTCTTCTGCCACTTGTCCCTTCTTTTTTCCTTATTTTAAATGTTAGCAGAAAAGAACCAGATGGAAGAGAAGAACACTTTTTGTAGTTCCGTGTGTGCCCCTTACCCCTGGGTGTTAGTGCCTGGGGAGGCACTAACCTTGCATTCAGAAGGTGGGTGGTGGTCTTTGGGAGAGTTTGCCACAAAGTGTACATCAGAAGAGAAATTCTTATGCCAGTCAAAGGAAGGGGAACAATTTAAACATTGGTGCATCTCAGATCTTCATTTCAAGCCTCCCTCAACTATTCAAATAGTCCTTTCGATTTAGAAAAAGAGGTAGGTGAGGGAATGGACAGTGGAGTGAGTAACTTCTCCATCTTCCTAAGCTCCAAGCACTGTGGTCTGACCCTGTGCCTAGTCCCAAACTGGGAAACAGGTCCCTGAGTAGGTGTGTAAGATAATGGGCAGGTTCGCTTCTGGAATTTTCTAGGGTTGTCACAGAGTGTCCATCTCTCAAACATTAACGGTATACATGGAGTCTACAAAAATTTTTCATATAACTTTAAAAAATATTTTTTTATTGATTTCAGAGGAAAGGAGAGGGAGAGAGAGATAGAAACATCAATAATGAGAAAGAATCATTGAGCAGCTGCCTCCTACATGCCCCCCACTAGGGATCAAGCCCACAGCCTGAGCATGTGCCCTGACCAGGAATCGAACTGTGACCTCCTGGTTCATAGGTTGACGCTCAACCACTGAGCAACACCAGCCGGGCTCATATAACTTTTAAAGTTCAGTTTTTAATTCTGGCTCTCCTGGGCTCTGATTATGACATGTATGAGTATAGTAGCCCCTTGAGCACTTGTAGCCCCTTAGAAACCCATAATAGAGTCCTAAAAACCTTTTGACTTGCAAATGACAGGTTGACTGACCCAGTGTCTTTGGGTCCTATAGGCTCCAGCCTTGTTTGGTGGAATGTTCAGTGTATCTCTTAGAATTTTTAACAATTATTTACTTCAAATAACTCTATTCTTGTCAGCATTAACTCGTTGCCCTTCCGGGGACTATGATGGGCCTTCCAGGAAGCCATGTTTCAAGTTTAAAAAGTAGAGGCGAGTAGTCTCTACTTGATGGAAAATCTGTATAAGTCTTGTTCTGTATGGCATTTCAAGAAAGCTTTATATAGTAGTTCCTTTTTCTAGAAATTTCAAGAAAGTTTTATATAGTTCCCTTTTCTAGTCATTTTAACTCTGACTATAATCAGAAGTCTGTGCTCCCATTATGGAGACCACATTCCTAACATTCTTAGGAAGCCTTAGTTCATACCCCCATTCAGACAGGGGAGGTGAGGTTTTCCTCCACCCAGAGTCCCTTTCAATTTCTCCCTGTGGCTTAGGGAGAAACTGAAAAACTCTCCAACATCAGTTTTCTAGCAGATTCCCCATATTTTTTGCCTGAGTGGGGAGAAAAGGGCTAATGGACGTGTAATGGTGTTACAGTTCACTAAGTTTTTTTTAAAAAGGCATTCTGACAAAAGGTGCAGAATATTCCTGAAAGTCTTCAGGCTGTCAAAGGCCCATGTAGACACTTGGAGGTGTTATTTAAACACTCAGCAGGCTGAGTGCAGGAGTACATATGTGTAACACGTGTATACTGTGCTTTTGTTTTACAACATTGTTAGCAAATTTCAGATTCCTTTTTCCTTGGCACCCATTATTATTAAAGTAATGGAATGCCGTGAAATGTACTGTATTGTATATTACTTGGGAAGATACTAGGTATTAAAGAAGTTTGGTGGCAATTGGGCTGTTAAGGGCTCAGCAAGACCAAAGTCTGAAGATTTTACCTCCTAGCTTTGGGCTAGTGGGGGGTGGGGGGCAGCACAGAGAAGGATGAGATGAAGTAATTACCCTGTGTTCTATTCTTCTAGTCAGTTTAATTATGGCAGTTTCCCCCAGCCCGAAAAGGATCACCTGGCCATTTTTAATGCCCTTGCAGTCTGATCACTTATGTTGCTTCAGAACTGAGTGGGGGACCTTCCTGCAGAGCAGTTGGAAGAATGGCGTCTGGAGCCAGGAGTGGCTGACCTGTGCCTAAGGAGCCAGCAGCAAAGCAAGGTCAGTCATGGGTGGAGGAATGCTCGCTTGGGTGAGGTTTCCACAGGATGCCCTAGCCCCTTGATCCTCTGCAGAGAGTAGCTCTGGAAAGTGCTGGTTCTTCCCAGACCAAAGAGTCACTTGTGACTACATCAATTGCAGGGGGACAGAGCATAGGCAGCAGCTTCTCCTAATTTTTAACACTAAAAGTCAAGGAAACAGTGAAGAAAGGATACATTACTACCACCGATATAGGGGCATGGTAGACCTCTCAACTAGTACCAGTCAGCTCTTCAATGCATTTTTTTTTTCCATCTTTGCTTGAGCTGTCAAAGGTGTTGGAAACTTTTTTTTGTTACCGGAGAACATGATACATGCACTGAATGACACTTTATTTCTTGGTTTTTATTCAGCACTGACAAACCAAGGGGGATTGGTGGTCACAGTAGCACTTGGGGGAATAGAGACGCCCTCTGGCCTTGCTTTGGCAAGAAGGCATGCTTGGTGTTCTATCTGCCCAATCAGGGACCTTCAAACTCCACAGTGCATCAGAGCGGTCTCAATGGCCCTCCCAGAGTCCATTGCCAATAGAGGAGCTTCTTTGAGATTTCAAAGCTTGATTTTGGGATTTGCTGGCTCAAATAACCCACTTTCTCTTTAAGAGAGGAAAAAAAAAAAGAGAGGGTTTATCCTTCTAAATATGGAGGTGGGGTGGTTAGGGCTAGTGGGGGTTAATAGATAAGGAGGGAATAACCTTGAGAAACTTACATTGCAAACTCCTTTGGGGGTTTCAAGTAGCACTACTGTCCTTACAAGGGTTTTATTTTTAACTTCACCTGCTGTGTTAACATCCAGTCCAGCTGAGATGGTGGCAGAGACTGTGAACACCTGGCACTGGGGAGGCCTTCTTCCCCAGAGGGTTGAAAAGAAAATCGGTCTGGACAGCTTGTTGTCTTTGTCTTTATGTAATATTTTTGTTTGTTGTGAAGCACTAATGTTTATTACAGTGTTCAATAAAAGTGTAACATACTAAGTGTGTAGATAAAAGTGCAATAACTAGAGAAATTACTTTGGCACAAACTTCAGTCCTTACTCGCTCTCCTTTCTTGTGCTCCCCGTCTCCTTCCACACTGTTACATTTCCACATTGTTACAGCAGGACCCTGTTAATTGTGCGTATTTTTAAGAGACGCAATTAAGGGATAAGCCTTCGCTTCGTGTAATTCTGAAGGGTTGGGTTTGGTTTTATAGAGTATTCTGTATACTTGTTTGGATGTACAAATAGCAGATGTGCTGTATAATAAAGACCGCATTAACGTTTTAAGTTCATGTGTGTTTGGCTTTTGTTTCCCCTGTGTCACCAGGACACGCCCTATTCTATCCCTGTTCCACGGGGACCTCTGCAGTCAGATGTCTTTCAGTTTGTCTTAGAGGTGGATACGGTCAACATGCTGCTCCCCCATAGATCACTCTTGATTCCCAGGTACTTGACATTAGCACGACCAGAAAGTGGGGCAAGGAAATGGGAGGTGGGACGGTGGAGAAGAGGGGGCAAGGCGTGGTGATAGCAATTTAGTTTTCAGAGCCTTTCCTAGGTTCACACACGTTTCTCCAGCTTCTTTCCAGCACAAACTTGCAGCATTCTGAGCTCATGCACAAGCCTAGCTCTTCTTTATCACACTGTGAGGGGATCCGGGGCTGGAATCTACATACCGGACCATCTGCATTTGGAATGTTTGAATTTTCTATTTAGGCTCACCCGCCTTCTGATGTGCTTGTTAGGCAGTGCTCGGCAGGCACCAGCATTGGCCACTGCCAGCAGAAGGGCACTAGCTGTCGTCACCAGGAAGTGTCAGCAGGCTGCACGCCACCTTCTGTAGGGTGTACTTGTTTGGGTTACTGTTTCATGCTTATATGGCTGCATCACTTTGTGCTGTAACTGCTTGTGATTTGACTGCAATACAAGTTCAGCCAGGAGATGGCAGCACAACTTAAACAGCTTATGTGTTTTTTTTTATTGTCTTAAAGGAAAACCTAACGTTGAATCTCAGTGGTTCTCTGCCTTCCCCTACACAAAAGTCATGTAATGCACATGAGCTTCTTACACTTGTGAAACTCTCACTAATCCCAGCCCGCCCTTCACAGCCAAATACACCCCATCTCACATGCTATACCCTGTGCTGTAGTATAGAGTTCATGTGAGTTCTCTTAACTTCCTCTCTAACAATTACTACTTTGGAAAAAATAGCTTATAGTATAAGTATACATTTTTAGATTGTGTATGCTTTTCCAAGAATACATCGCTCAGCAGGCTTGTTACTTGAGTAAGGCAACTAGGGTGGCCTCCCTGGTCCTGTGATTGGGTGGGGTTCCAAGGGGAGAGTCCACCAAGTTTCTGAACACTTCAATTTAGCTTAGAAATTTCTACCTTTAGTTGAATCCCAAGGTGTCCATGAAGTGCAGTTATCATGGGTGGCCACTGAACTGGTTGAGGTCTCTTAGGGGCTTCCTTAGGGATGGCCTGTTCCTTAGTATATTCTAAAGGTGGTATTTCAAATCTGGAAAAATAGACGTTATAAAACTAGCTATTCACCTGGGAAAAAAATAGACTCAAATCATGCACACAAAAAAGTATACTAAAGATCTAAATATTAAAGAGAACTATAAAGGAACTTGATAATGGTATACACGTTGAATATTTATTATATACTAGGCACTATTCTAAATTATATATCTATCTATATATTTACATATATAGATACATAGATATATTCACTTAACCTTCACCAGAACCCCACTTTACTGATGAGAATATTAAGTACCACAGACATGCAATTGATAAATGCCAGAGCTGGGATTTGAACCTAAGAAGTCCAGTTCCAGAACCTCTCATTCTACAACTAACTACTATGCTTTCTGCTTCCAGGAAAAAATGTGTGTAAGTATGTTCATTTACTGTTTGGAGGAAGGGAGAACTTTTTTG